TTTTCTGAAAAAAGGGTAAAGTGGTAATTTACCTTTCTAATGCGTATTTAAAATACATATTTTTATAGAGCTCGGATGGGACAATGCACCTCACCGTTGGATTCGTATCTCGAAACGTAGCTGCCCTGTCAATTTTCGTCGAATTTCGAGATAGTTGAGTTTTTCTCATTTTTCGAGGCGAGGGGCGTCCGGTGACCTCCAAATATGAAATTTTAAAAGTTGAAAAAATATTTTAATATAAAGTTCATATAAAATATTTTGAGATTAAACCGGTACAAAATAAATCGTTTTGGGACAAAAACGGACCCGAATCAGTGAGGGACACGTGGCGCGACTCGGGCCAAGTATTGAAAAGTATAAATAGGGGCTAAGTCAGATATTTTGCTGAAGGATCTCTGCATTTCAGCTGGTTCCAACGTGTGAGAGCAAGAGGGAGAGAAAAAGGGAGAAAACAAATCCTCCTTCGCCGATTCTCTGAGTTTCGTTGCTCGGATTAACTCGGACCAATAGCCAAAGGTCATCTCCTCGACGAGGGCTACGTGTATGTACCAAAAAGAGCGGTTTTCACCGAAGATCCAAGAAGAGACTTTGGAAAAAATCAAAGTTTTGAGGTTGATTTGTTGTTATAGAAGTTCTTACACTTCTATTGAGGTAGGGTTCCCTCCTACCTTGATTTTATTCTTACCTTAAGTGAGCTTTTAGTGGCTGAAATTGGTTTATATGTGGGCTGTCCAAATGGACTGTTTTGGTGCTAAAATTGGGGCTGTTTTGTGCACTAATTAGGGGCTGTTTTGTGCACTAATTAGAGACTGTTAAGGGGCTGAATTATGGACTATTTTTAGGCCATGTTATGGACTGAAATTGTGACTGTTTTTGCGAACTGTTTTTAGGCTATTTTGTGGGATATATACGGGCTGTTTATATGGTGGTTTGTTTGAGCTGTTTTGTGGTTTAGATAAGAGTCGTTACGTGGGCTATTACATGGGCCGTTATGTGTTATATTATGCCTTAATGATTAGGTGTGTTATTAGCCTAAAAGTTGTGATATCACTTGCCTATGATTATGAAAGTGAAATTATGGACTTATGACATGATTTATGATTGGAAATGCAATTGTTGGTATGTACATGTTAAGATATATTGAATTTGTGACAAATATGATATCTATATGCTTAGAACATAACTTGTCATGATATGTTGAGATTGTTCATATGTCATTCATAACATATTAAACATTGTATCATTGTGCATAGAGACATCACATTCATGGGCATAAGTCATGAGTGTGGGTGTGTGAGATGTATGGTTGATCAAACACCTTGTTTGGTGGTTGGTATATGGATTCGGGAAAAAGTGGATCGAAGATCCCCTTTGAGTCACATGGTTGCATGGAAGAAAATTTGTGTCGGGTATAACAAGTAGGGCTAGACTCTCCCTCGAGTGCAAGATCCGGTGACTTGGTTATACACTCCCCTGTGGTGAAATTCCAGAAAAGTGTAGTATGGTATATGGAACCGGCGGTATAAAATCCAAAATTCGTTGCCCAACACGACACAAGATTTTGATTTATAAGAAAATACTCATTTAATGAGTACCATCCAATAATGATCTGATTTATAAAACGCATGATTTTTTATTCAAAGCGATCATTGGATGTATTTTCGTCAAAGACGGGTCATTACACATTGACATTGCATTGTGTTGTGGAAGTCAGTGAGGACTTGGGTATAAGTGCATGAGTGAGTATCATTTTATTTCATGGCATGACATGGTTGCATTTCAACATTGAATACATATTCTTGTATGAATGGTTATTAAATTTTAAATGTTATTTATACACATTGCATATGCATTTAAGGTGGGGAATAGCCCTAGTAGGAGTTTTTCTTTACTGGGCGTTGACTCACCCTATACGGGAAACATTTCAGGTACGGGTCATACGCCGAGGGACGACACTTACTCGAGCACTTAAGGAGGAAGAAAAGCCGACTTGTGGCTTTCAATCCATTTCTTTTGTAAAATTAGACTTGTAATTAAATTTTGACATGTACTGTGTAAAGAAATTGTGATAGAATCTATATCGACTGTTTTAATATAATCTTGCATGTTTGTATGAATATGGATAATTGGACCCGGTGTGACCAATGTTTACTTATAAATGGACCCGGTGTGGTCATTGTTGAATATAGGACCTCGGATGGGTCTTGTTATTATATATTGCACAGGTTGTATTTTAAGTAGATTTCTCCTTACAAAGGAGACTCTGCCCAAATTTTTAATAAAGGATGGACCCCGATAAATGGGGCATAATGTTGAGATATCGAGTTACTCGGTATCCACGGGCATTCCGCGGGTTGATGAGTAATCAGCGGACCTCCGGATTTTGGGTGTCACATCTGCAACATAGGATCTGTAACTCAGATAAAATGCGATCAAATCGCTCATTGATCTGCAATTCATGACCAGATCGTGCACAACGGCACCGATCTGTTACTATAGATGAAGGTCAACGATCAGACCTTTCAAGCCGACTACACCAGAGAGAGAGAGAGAGAGAGAACATGGGTGGGAAGTCTGGAACGATGAAGGAGGAGCAGTGGAGTGACCGAGTGAAGTGTGAGGTGCAAACGCTATTAGGACTCAGTAGATTAGGGTTTTTTTAGTATATATATATATATATATTTTAAAAAATTATTGCAGATAGGGTAGGGTAGAAATGCGGAAATAGATGACTATTCCGCATTTCTACCCGAAAATTATCGGAAGAACAAAAACTCTTTCGTATTCCTACTTGAATTTTGCGGCTAACCGTTGAGTAAGGTAGAATAAGGTTGGATTAGGTAGGGTAGAAACTTACGGGCGGTCAAAAATTTGAACACTCCTACTAACTCCTAAGCACGGAGACAGCAAGACTAATTTCATAAATGCACTTTTATATATGACACATGTCCCCAAATTAAAAGACAGCAAGACTACAACTCAGGCATTTCGAGTCATTCAACATACCTAATCTAATTAGTTTTATTCATTCAATGAGGTTAAAAAACTACTCAATTTATAAACAAGTTTAAAGGACGATTTTGTCATATTCTTAGCTTTCATTCCGAGGAAGGACACTAATGGGTCTAAAGAAATATTAGCTTTCAACGGTACCGACATTGATATCGGCTTGCAACTCACATATAAGTAGAGGTTAAAAATAAGAAAAAATTTCAGTTATATTATTCTAATTTATCATATCTTTAAAAATATTTTTTTTTAATTTTTTGAATCTTCACTGACATCTCATGTCAAATTAAAAGTTTTAATTAAAATATAATTTTATTAAATTATTTATGATATATTTTAGGAAAAACTTCATTCACATCCCTTCTAGATAGACATATCTTCAATGAGACATTTTTTTTTTTTTTTATGTAATAAAATTCGAATGGATTAAAATTTGATTAGAACTAATTAAAATTTATTTTTTATGTATTAAAATTTGAGCCGATTAAAATTTTTTTTCGTGAATCAAATCAAATTTTAATCAACTTGTATTAAATTTTATTCGCCCTGAATTTTGATATGCATAAAAATATAAATTTTAATCAACTTGAATTAAATTTTAATAAATAAAAAAATATAAATTTTAATTGACTCGATTTTAATACGTAAAAAATTATTAGGTATAACTATTTTAATCGACTTGATTTTACTCGAGGCTAATAGATCAGACATAACTCAAATCAGCTAGAATTTTAATACGTAAAAAAAAATTTAATTAGGTCGAATCTAATTTTAATCTATTCAAATTTTAATATGTAGAAGTTTTTTTTAATCAACTTGAATTTTAATATGTGAAAAAATAAATTTTAATCGGTTCGAATTTTAATCAAATTTTATGTAAAAAGATTAATTGAAGTTTATGTAAGGGTAGTTTTAGTATTTTAGATAATTGTAGTTTTAGTATTTTAGATAATTTATTTTTGTTATAAATAGTAGTTTAATAACATGGAGTGTTAGTGATATTAAATATAAACTAGAAGGGATGTCAGTGATGTTTTTGATAATAGATGAGTGTCGTTAAAAATATAATAAAATAGAAGGATGTGGTTGAAATTTTCTCTAAAAATAATTTATTGCAGGGTGAAGCCATGTATCTTTATTTATTCTAGGACTTGATTGAGATTTATGTAAATTAGTACATGACTTAGCAATTAAAAGTGTTGGACCAACACTAGAGATTACAAATTCGAATTAGTAGACAACCGTTGTGTACTAAAACACTCGGATTTTGGTAGTTCACCAAACTGAAAAAAAAAACAAATATGAAAGTGTAAAATATCACAAATACTGCTTGGGATAGAAATGTAATATCAGTCTTTAAAAAGGAGTATTTGGTCCAGAGATTATGTGAAGTGCGCTGTTGGTAAAAGAGTGAGGTGCTCCAATAACTGTCCCAAAAGGATTTGTGTTTTGCACAGAAAAGTACACCTTGGTGGGCTGTCTTCCCGCCATAAACACCACTCCACTCCACTCCACACCACACCCAATTGTCCAGTACCTCTCTCTCTCTCTCTCACACACAAAATTGTTTGTGTGTGTAATTTTTCTATGAGTAACACTACGTATACTTAAAAAATAGATTTAAAAATTAAATTTATAATCTTAATCATTGATTTTATTGTGGGTCTTAGCATTTATTGGGACTCACTATCTATTTAATAATTAAAATTATCAAATCTAATTTTTAAATTTAATTTTTAATTCTATCTAACATTACTCTTTTTCTATTTCGTGTCGTTTCTATATATTTTGTGAAAATTCTTCATTTCACAAGTCTCCACTTTAAATAGAGGAAGGAGGCTCTCTTGAAGCTAGTTCTTCTGTACTCTATCTATAGTCTATACACCACTGATACGTTGCAGCATATGCAATTGATTATATAGCTGAGCCACCCCCAGCCTTTTAGTTTACTTTTAAGAGAGAGAGAGAGAGAGAGAGAGAGAGAGAGAGAGATGGGTGGTGGTGGAGATATGGTAATGAAGCCTGCATGGCTAGAAGGGCTAATGGCTGAGACATTCTTTGCTGCATGTGGGGTCCACGAGAATCGAAGGAAGAATGAGAAGAACATCTTCTGCTTGGATTGTTGTCAAAGCTTTTGCCCTCACTGTCTTTCTTATCATCGCTCTCATCCCTTACTTCAGGTATACCATCATTCATACACTGCTATTAGCTAATTATTTGTATTATCTAGCTAATTACATGTACCAATACATCATAATATAATGATTCAAATCATCCTTTTTCGACTTCCTTCTCTTTCTTTAATTTTCTGTCTTTGATTCATTTTACTAGTTTTATACTTCATGGCAATGAGTCTTCTGGTTGCTTTAAATTCTTCCAAAATATCATTTTTAGTACCTTATTTCAGTTCTTTTTAGTACCCTTCTTAGTTTCTCTAGCTGCCTCAGGCCCAGGTTTAGTAATTATAATGAGTACATAGTTGAAATTATGTTTTGACTCTTCTGAATTTTCAAAAATTCATAACAACTCCCAGGTTGTAGTGTCAAGAACTTTATTTATGGTTTCTTTGTTTCAATTTTCTCCTTGCTATGTGTTTGGCAGTTGGGTATTGTTTTTTCTGAAGATTGGCCTAGTTTTTGGTATACTTGTAAACTTCTGTATTCACATAGATTTCTGCTTGAACCTATTCTACAAATTTAGTGTGCTCTTTTAGGTACTAGTACTTTATAGAAACTCCTCTGAAGACCTTTGTTAATTTTCCAACTCAAGGTTCACAACGTTTTCAAAAATTTCTTTGAATTAAGCAATGTCTATTTGCTTAGCTTCTACCATTTCTTTCTTGCTATGGTTTAAAGTAAGCAAATCTTTTTACAATACTGAAATTTTCTCCTCTTAGTTTCTTTGCTTCCTTTGATCTCTTTTATGTATTTTCTTTCTTCTCAAGGTTGAAAAGTCTTACGGAATTTCTCTTTCCTTAAGGGAAATTCAAGCTAATTCTTTGAATTTCACTTATTTCTCATCTTCTTTAAGAGATATTTTACTTGTTTCTTCAATTATGTATGGTATTCCGAAAGGGGTGTGTTTGGGCCTTTGATTTCCACTTTTGAGAGTTGTTTTCTTTCCTGTTTTTAGAAGATTTCTCTTTTATCCATTTCCCTGCAAAGGTTCCTTAGCTGTTGCTTTCAAGGAAAGTGAAAGTTTGACCCAATTGTCCAAATTCATTTCTGGTCTATTTTGTTTTTACTCACCAAAAGGAGTTTCAGAATTTACTCCCAAATCAGCCTATTTATTATTTTTTGGACTATATCAAGTTGGTTGCCTAACTTTTCACCTAAATTTTCAGGTACTTGTCAAAAAAACTCAATATTCTAAGTCATAAAATGTGTTTGATTTCACTTCTGCCTAGATTATGAGACAATTTCTTGAGAGTTTGAGTCCTCTTTCGCTATCAGACATTCAATTATCTCGATTCTAAATCTGTTATATTTCATTTAATTAGAATTGACTATATATAAGAATTTTGAGAGTTGAGTCCTTTTTGCTGTTAAACTCAATTTTCACAATTCTACATCATGTTATATTGCATTCAATTGGTATCAATGCACCAAAATCAAGCCGGAATCGCTAGTAATTGCTGGTCAATCATGTGACGGTGAATTCGTTCCCAGGCCTTGTACACACCAGCCGTTCGTTTAAAATTTTTTTGAAAAGTTAATCATAATTTCTTCTCTCAATCGAAACAAAAGAGCCGTTATGCTCATAGTAAACTTGTTGAATTTAAATTTACAATAATTGTGAATAGAACCCAATTCAGGTACTGTTGGTCCCATGTGACAGGTGAGAAGATATGTTTACCAAGATGTTGTTAGATTGGACGACCTCGAGAAGCTCATTGACTGTTCCTATATTCAGGTATTGAGAAAAAAAAAAAAGGGCACTAATTACTAGTGCTTCAACTACTGTGATACAGTTCATCAGTTTTTTACAGTGAGCCTACTATATGATATTAGTGTAATCCGCGTAATGTAAATAATTTTGAAAGTAATATTGGTAACAAGAAAATGGAATTTCAATCCCAACATTGTGGATTGATCCCGCCTTTTCTAAGTGATTACTTACACCATTTAATAGTAACTGATATTTTCGAATGGAATGAATTGTAACTTTTAATTGGCCATCTCTTTTAGTACTACCCTAATTTCAAAGTTTTTCCTGTTTATACATGAAATAATTAATGTTATTCTTTGTTTGGCAGCCCTACACCATAAACAGTGCCAAAGTGATATTCTTGAATCAGAGGGCACAATCTAGGTCTTGTAAGGGCCCTGCCAATAGTTGCTTCACCTGTGACAGGATTCTTCAGGAACCATTCAACTTCTGCTCTCTTTCTTGCAAGGTCCACTTCATTGTCCTCCTCATTTCTTCTTTAGCTTAAACTGGGTTAAGGTGCCTATACAAAACACACACACACACACACACACACTCTCTCTCTCTCTCTCTCTCTCTCTCACACACACACACACACCCCACTCTGACACACATTCTTGTTTTATTTGTCACCTGGTTGTAAAACCGAGTAATATTGTAACTTTTTTTTTTTTTGCATTGAAAAGTTGCAACCAAACATGGCCTAATTGCATGTCATAACAAGTAGCCTTCTTAAATAACTAGCCTCACTAATACAACACCATGCAGGTTGATCATATGGTATACCAAGGGGAAGACTTATCAACTATCTTATATGGGTTCAATGGATCCGATTTCACATTCTCACAATTTGAGGGGCTAAATATGGATGGGTCGGAGCTCCTCGACGACGATTGCCAAATTACACCAAACTCCATCCTGGATGACACTTTACAATTCCGAGACTCCTCATGCTCGAATAATTCCATGGAGAATTCAGGAATTTCACCCACCTCAGAGGTGGCGAAAAAGAAGAAAAAAGGAAGTGGCTTCCTCCCTGGGATTGTTCTCTCTTTGAGCAGCAGGAGAAAAGGAGCTCCTCATAGATCTCCTCTCTCTTAAAAAGAATTTTATGAAAAAGTTTTATGTTCTAGTACTATATATTATAAGTTATTATGTTACTAGATTTTACTAAGATTAGTCATGCTTTATATTAACTTTCACGTATTTTGTATTTTCTACGATATCATCAGTTGCTTTGCTCATCGGATTGTGCATGGAGTGATTCCGTTACAGACCGTAGGCGGTTGTCAGGAGGCTGGGCTCTAGACTCCACCAATTTTGTTTGGGTGTAATGGAACTTGCAAGCATATATATATATATATATATATGTTATTTGAACTAACTTCATTTTTGTGACATTGTATCATCCTTCATGTTACATGTAATTGTTCAAGTATTTGCTTACAATTGTTGTGTGGTGCACATGTAATGCTATATCTTGATGGCGGAAAAAAAAAAAACAAAAGAGGATGACCGTCCCTCGAAGATTGCTAAATAGCTTAGTTTGATAGAATATTTTTTGGGGGAAGAAGAAAAATAATGACACCTTCGACGTGTGAAAAATCTCTTAATTTAAAGCATAGTCTTCGATTCATCTCAACTCACCCCAAGAGAAAAATCGAAAACGAGGGTGGGGATAATCCACAATGGCCAATAATTTGCAATGTTTTAGATTAATAGCAGATAGGAAGATTAGCAAAGTATAAGTTTTTGTTTCTCAATTGATTTGATAATAAAAAAGTTTGGATTTAACAGATCCAATTAATGTCAAATTGCACTTGAAAAATATCAAAGCATGAGGTACTTCAAGTGTTTTGCTAGTGCTAGAAACGTTTTCATTAAAATAATATTATTTATTCTGATTTATTGATTTAATTTTTTATAACTATTGAATTGTCGACAAACCTCATCTAACAATTAGACTTTTTATTTATTCAAAAATTATAGTGATTTGAGTAAATAAATTAAGTATAAATGCATAATTCTCTTAATAAATTCGTCAAAAGAGAAACTTGTGAAAATTTTACAATGAAAAATCATTTGGAACCATTCTTGCTTTTGAATTTCTTTTGGTGGAAAGGTAAAATCCAATTTATTGTATTTTTTTGGGTAGAAGTTGGTGTATTAGCCCATTTTCTTATTCCATGTTGGCCATTTGACCAAACCAAAAAATCCCTGTTTTTAACCCATTTTGGTCCTCTCTTCTTGTGGTTCGGTTAACCTGTGGCGCAAAATAGCACAGCATGCGATGGGGTATGAGACAGGGCGACCACCTGGTATCGTACAACGCTTCAACAGACAAAAGGGCCAGAGTGGACACCACCCATCGAGATTACTTTCTTTCCGTACAACTTTATTTTTAATTTTTACATCATGTGACATCATCATTAGCTGGAAGCATAATTGTTTTGTGCCACTAGTTAAATCAAAATTTAGTTCCTTCTCATCTTATTAAACTTGTTTAAAATAATAAAATAAATAAAAAAATTTGTTTGGAATTTTTCGTTGCTCATATTAATTTGAGAGTATTGATCTAACGATCAAAAAAATATTTTTCTGCCCACAACACTTGTAAACTCCCATATTCGTATTATCAAATATAATAATGTAATTATGTTTTTGAAAGACAAATATACGTAATGGAGTATTCATGAACTAAGTAGATTGTAAGAGTAGAGATAAAAATGTTAATAGTGTAGAATCGGGTAAATATTTAGTTCAAACTTAGTTTTGACTTGTAAATATATAAAACAGTTTGTAATAGAACTTATACCAACTATGTTTGATGTACAAATATATGTTGTATAAGTTTTGATGAGTTTTGGAAGGGTTTGAAATGAGTTTGAAATGGAAATAGAGGAAATAGGCAAATCTGGACAGGACCTACCGGTAGTACGCTGTCCAGTGGATTCAAACTACCGGTAGCTCAACAAGTTGTAAGTTGCCAGTAGATTTGAACTACCGGTAGCTCAACAGGTAGTAAGTTGCCAGTGGATCCAAACTACCGGTAGCTCGATATGAATTATCGGTAGATCGTTAAAAAATTAGAATTTTTATGTTTTAAAACCCCATTTTCACTCCATTTTTTCTCATTCTTTCACCCAAAACCTCTTAGAACCTTAATAGAAAGACTTAGAGAGGAAGAGAGAAAGGGAAAACAAGAGTTTTAAGGGTGATTCAAGATCAAATATTATTGTCTTTCACACCAAAGCCAAGGAGAAAGGTAGGAGTTTTCTTCCATTCTTGTTTATTGAGATTAGGGCTTGTATATATGTATTCTTTGACTCTAAATCTTATACATATGTTATGAAATCATCATTCATTGGTCTTCTTGCAATTATTATAATGTTTTAAACAAAGTTAGGGTTGAATACCCATAAAATCTCTTTCTCTTGATTGAAAACCCTAGTTTTTGAGAGAAATTGATTTTTCTTTTGTTTTGATTTCAAAACTTTAGGGCTTTGTATTGAACAACAAAATGGTATTTGTGATGATCTCTTGCTTATTTTTCTTAAAATTGTTCTATTGAAAAATACCCATTGAAATTGGGGGGTTTTTGGGATTGACTTGTGATTTGAGAAAATGTTGTTATTGCATCTGTTGTATGGTTGTTGTGATAGACTTCAATTACATTCGAGCACTGCCGTAAGTGTTAGAGATTAGTCTATCCTAGTGGGGGTGAGATGGTTACCTAACACTTATAGTGGATTGTTGTTTGTGAGAGCAACCACTATTGTTCCCGTAAGTTTGAGGCTCGGGGTTGGTATACTTTTTATGGGAAGGATTCGTCAATGTCGTGAGAGACGGTATACGCCCTTCCTAAAATATTTGGGATTGTGTACTTGTGGTGGGTGAACGAGGTAGAATCGGGGTGTAGATTCATGGTAAGCAACCAACATACATGAGAACATGAGATTATTGTTATTGTTTGGAATCAGTTTTCGACAAGAGTTTGTGGAGGTATGAGACTCTACAAGAACTTGTTGAAAATGGTTGTTAATTGTAATTTGGTGTTACTGTTCATTTAAATTATTGTGATTACGTACACTTGAGATCGAGGGGGAAGGGAATGAAGATCACACCTGGAGTCATTGCGGATGCATTGCATTACGAAAGACCACCTCCCAACACCACGGTCTATCCTTACGACAGCTAAGGGCAAAAATCAATTCAGGAATACGCAAGCTTAATGTATGAGGACCCAACACAGTTTAAAGGAAAAATCAAAGTTGGGGCACTCAAGCACTCCTACAGGGTAATGAACAAGGTTCTGCATTACAATTTGCTACCTCAGGGAATGAAAAAGTCTCTGGGGGAGGAGAAGCTAGCCCTTTTCTATGCTTTCATGATGGGCAAAAGGATGGATATCCCTCTCATGATGTAGTTGATGAAGGAGTATACTCATGATAGTAAGTCAAGGGCAACATTATGCCAACCTTAAGGGAGTAATCCGAAGGCAAATTTCCCTTATGCCAACCTTGTCACGAAGATCTACCTCCATAATAAAGTCCAGGGCAACCCCTCTGATGACACCCTCCCATTGGAGTTTGGAGCTATAGGCAAGTCTAGCAGTATGAAGAGGTCAACCATGATAGGAGGTGCTTAGTAGTCAAAATTAGCACATCACTATGCCTTTTTAAGACTAATTATACTTTGATGGAGTTAAAATGATGACATTTCAGGATATAAATTGTACAAAGGTCCAAAGGCAATGAATATCAAATTTTCATGCAACACCATCATACCATGGGACAAAATTGGAGAAGGTTGGAACAAAGCATGAATGTTCAAACACCAAGTCACGTTTGAACATTCCCTTGAATTATTTGAAGACCATATTGCTGAAATGCTAAGACATGGCGCGTTGCAGCTAAGAAGGAAAACACTGAAGTACTTGAGTACCACGTTCGAACACCAATCCATGTTCGAACGTGGTCCTGAACTATTGAGGACCAGGCTAATGAGTGCAAGGGCAGTGGTTCAAGGCATATGAATGTAGCTCTCATAGAGGAACAGAGGCTACTTGAGTAGGCGGTTCGAACTACATCTGGCGTTCGAATGCCCATCAAGCGAAAACAGGAGAGAACGTTCGAATGTTGTCCCCAGACAGGCTGCAAAGTGGATGGATTTTCAGTTGGACATTGAAGGCCTTACCCTATTTTTACACACTCACTTCCTATAAGAGCTTGAACTTAGACTTACACTAGACCAAGACTTGTAGATCTAGTTGTAGAGATTTAGATTTACTTTTACTTGCATAGAGGAAGATAGATCATCTTTTGGTTGAGGAGGAAACCCTCGAAAAGTGACTAGCTTCCTTCTAGTTTCTTTCTTAATTTCATTTGCTTCCATTGTTTGAGCTTCCTTCTTCCATTAGAGAAGTGAAACTCTTCCACTTTTCTAGAGCTTTACCAAAGCTGTGAGGGGTGGAACGTGATTCATTCATTTTTCGTCAAAGATCGGCTCCTTGTTTAGTGTGTTTCATTTTGTAACTCCTCTACTTGGAGGGATGATGATCACTCACTTTTCTACCTTTACCAAAGCCATGAAGAGTGAGTAGTTTCTCATTCACTCTTTAGTAAGAGGTGATTGCCATGTATAAATCATCTGAAAGTTATATTTGTGCATTTCGTTTATGCTTAATGCTTTATATTACACTTGCTTATTGAATGATTGAATGCATCTAGCAAAGCTAAGGTACTTTTTATAACCATGGGAGCTTTCTATAACACAGATGACTCTTGCATGGAAAGACCCATTAGTTCAAGGCAAGTACCCCGGCTAGATTTTCAGGATTAAATTTAAATCTTCACCATTATTGTGCTTCAATTAAAGAATGAAATGTTAAGTGCAATGGTTGGATGCCTTGTAAAGACACTTGTTTGTTTGTAGACGGGTTAAGTCTTGACACAGACAATTCTTGTAAACCTCTACAATGACATTGGAACTATGCTCTTAATTCTCACAATCCATCTTTATCTTCTGATTAACTTTATATTGACACAGGAGTTAATTGAGTTGTCAAGCATAAGTATAATAAAACGGATGATTACTTACATGTTCAGATCCTCGAGCTAAAGAGTGA